TTTGCCGCAGGGATGTTTTCCCATCTTCTGACCTTTGAGCTGGACTCCTGCGTGTGTTCCAGTGGCTCTTCCTTCAGCTGCTTGGATGCACAAAGTGGAACCAGCCCACAAGCTCTTGACACCCTGGTGGAAGCTGCTTTCTCTCGTTGCCTCTTTTTCTCTGAAAAGCTCTCTAGGCTGGCTGGGATGCTGTCTCCAGGATAGCCGGTCCTGAAGCCCCTCCAGTCTGGTGGGAGCAGGACCACATCAAAAGCTGCATGTGGTGAGGGGCCGTGGAGTAGTGTTCCTTAAAATGGCCCTGCTCCAAAGTTCTTACGAGCAGATTGTTGGAACACGGGTGTTGGGTAGGGAGACGTGAACAGGAGAAAAATTGTGCCCAGCAGATGTTGCGAGCGTGCTGTGCTGAGGTGAGGAGTTGGCTTGTAACAGTCTCTGAACCTGAGGGAAAATCTGTCTCACACTTGTAGTGAGAACTTTATTGAAAATGTGTCTGTTGGGACAGAAAGCAGCTTTTTTCTCTCTTTCCTTTTTTTCTTTCTTTTTTTTCCTTTCTTTTTTTCCCCCAAAGATAGAGGGCTTTATGCATTTATACCTTTATTCTACTCCTCTTATCTTTTGCAACTACTGAATCTTCTCCTCCTTAGGAGTTACCCAAGTCCCTCGGCAAGCTGGCCAAGCTGACGAACCTGAACGTGGATCGGAACCGGCTGACATCCCTTCCAGCTGAGATCGGGGGCTGTGCCAACCTGAACGTGCTGTCCTTGCGAGACAATCGCCTGACCCCCCTGCCGCCGGAGCTTGCCAACACCACAGAGCTTCACGTCCTCGATGTGGCTGGGAACAGGTCAGCAGCGGGAAGGGGAAGTGGCCTCCTCGGTGTGTTTTGGGAGATGCTGGGCCTGTGCTGATCCCAGGATCCAGAAGCCCAGTCTGGCTGCTTGGGGCTCTGCGAAGAGGGCGTGGGTCTCAAGCTTTGCCTGCTAAGCCCTTCTCCGTGTTACCTGAAGTAAAGCAGAAGCACGGGGGCGCTTTGCCAGGTGTAAAATACAGATCAGGGGAAGTCTTTTGGTCCACAGTCTGCCTTCCTGCAGATTTTCTAGTTTTGTGTCATCGGTTCCCCAGGTGATGGGTCCCAAAGCCTGATTTATGATGTGTACAACCCCTCTGCGTGCACATATCTGTGATCCTTTCGGAAAGATTCTGCAGATCTTAGCTGCCGTTCTGTTAGCTGAGACTAGTGCTCTCTGCAGCAGTTGGAAGCTGACCAGAGCTCCTGTTTGGAACACTCTCTGCATGCTGGTCCGTGAAAGCATAATTTTTCTGTCTTCAAACCCCTTTTCAAAATGCACGGTTTTCACATTGCAGATGGGAATTGTCCTCTGCTAAAATGTGGTGAGGGTGGGTTACTGAGTCCTGGCTGTGGCTGTGGCAGAGCCTCCATGTGTGCAGGAGCGAGGACTCCTGCCGGGGCTCGGCTCTGGCCCTCGGTGCAGGTGAGGCAGTCTGGACCCGAGCTGAAGCTCCTTGCCAAGTAAGTTTAACCAGCAGTTCTTCTTTTGTTTTGCAGACTGCAGAACTTGCCGTTTGCTTTGACAAATCTGAACCTGAAAGCCCTGTGGCTGGCAGAAAACCAGTCCCAGCCCATGCTGAAATTCCAAACAGAAGACGATGAAAAGACAGGGGAAAAAGTTCTCACGTGTTACCTGCTGCCCCAGCAGCCCTCTCCTAGCCTGGGTAAGAGACCGCGCCGTGAACGCTGCTGGCGGTGCTGTGTGCTGCAGGGAAGAGGCTTGAACCCTCCTCTCTGCTCAGTTGAAGTCTTCTTTGTTACTGTGGTACCTGTAGCAGACCCAGGCTCCTGCATGGCTCGTGGCAACTTTCCAAGGCAGAGAATGTTAAAACGGAGAAATTGCTTCTCTGCCAGGTGGTAAAAAGCTTAGTCTTCAAGTCTCTGCTTTGATCTATTGATGGAGTAGGTCATTGTCCTTAAGGTGTGCTTCCTGACATAAGAATCATAGAATCCTAGAATGA